TTTTTTTGCGGAACCGGGGATTGAACTCAGATCCTTGCGTTTGCCAGTCAACCACTTATCCTACTGAGCCATCTCCCCAGCCCCTGTTGTTTAAATTATTGTAAGCACCATCTTCAACAATTTTTTTTGTCTCTCTGTTGATACTATTAATCAAGAGACATCATGGGCTGTGGTATTTACAAAGCCCTCTTGGACAAATACTGGACCATGGCAACTTCAGGCAGGGGAAGCGTATTTCAGCTCTTGATGTCAGATATTTTGGGTCATGGCCCACTGACTCCAAGGCAGAAAGGAGAAAACAGCAAAGTATGGAAGAGGAAAGCTCAGTGCATGGTGGCCAGGAGGTACAAAGAGGAGGAAGGAGCCAGAGAGGCAGGAGGAGGGGACTGGCTAGAACTCCCAGTGTGCAGCCAGCATGACCCAGCCAATAACACCGAGTGTGCCCTAGTAATCTAGTAATCTCCTGGGCAATCCTCAAGCCAAGCTGGTCAAGTTGATGCCAACATTAACCATCACAGTATCACTGCCAGGCAAATGTGTCAAGTTATCTGGTTTTGCTGCCACAGCTCCAGTGAGGTGTTAGGGAAGTCTTTCACAGATGCTGGTCCTGTTCCCCTCCCCTTCTCGTGCTCCTTCCTTTCTGCTGTTAGAAACCTTCTCCATCATTATGGCTTGTGTCTAGGTGCCCACCAAATGCCTCATGCAGTCACGGAGCAGACTTCTAGAGTTTTGTGATTAATTCGTGATCCAGTGTTGGGATTATGGGTGTAAACAGTGCTGGGATTATGGGTGAGAGTGCTACACCCAGTCTGCAGCGGATAGCCTTATTGCAACATAAGGGAGACAGACTTGCCAGTGTTGCCACCACTCTTCCCTTTTGCTCTTGCTGTTTTGCTGTTTTCTGCTGCTATGAACTACTGCTCTCTGCCTTGGAGCTAGCAAAGTATGGACTGAAACTTCCAATAACTGTGAGATAAATAAACATTTCTTTCCTTCATTTTGGGTTTGGGTATTATAAAGAAAAAGTATCTAAGACATCTTTTTGTACATCACCTCTGATCCACTCTACATCACTTTCTGCTTCCCTCCCTCCCCATAGCTCCACCTTGGCCACTGCAGTAGTCTCCTCCCTTGTGATGGAAAGCAAACCCAGTCCCAGGTTGGTCTGAAGCCTTTAGTGGCTGGGAGATGCTCAGGCATTAAAATCCCAAATCCCTGTCACTGTCCCATTCTATCTCCCACTGTGTTACCCACACTTGTTGCCTACTGACCATCCATCCCACTCCTTCCCATCTCCAAGCATTGTACAGATGGTGCCTCCTGCCTGGGGCACCCTACCCTCTATGACAGACAGCCTGCTGCATCTCTCTGACTCCACTACCATGAAGTCACCACATACATGCTCCTTGCTTGCTGAGGTTGGTGTAACCCACATGCACCCCCAGCACTCTGTCAGTAGGCCCAGCTCATTTCTGTACATGATTATCTCTTTTGGGGATCTCCAAGGATCTGACCAAATTTCTTAACTTACTTTTCTGCTGAGGTTCTTTATAAATATTGGATGGATGTGGGTCTTTCATGGAACAGACACAGTGCCAGTCTCTTGGGGACGTGACAGTGGGCAGGCAGAAGAAGAGCCTGGGAATTCTGAACCAGTCCTCAGGCACAGGTTGGCTGTGCTGAAATAGTGCAAATGGATTCTGAAATAAAGGAACTGTCTCCAGCCTTCTGTTGCATTCTCAGCAGACAACAAATCTACAGATGACTGACACATGAGAGAACTTAGTCGTGGGAAGCACTGGGACAGCAACAAAACCCAGAGATGTGACTGCATTAGGTTACAGTGGAGGGACAGACCCACCTTAGAAAGAGTGGACAGGGCCACCTCTCTGAAGAAGTGTCATTTGAGCTAAGATATAAACATTGGGATATTAACCAAGCAAAATTTTCATAGCACAGCACTCCAGCAGATGAACAAAAATGAATCTATGAATGAGTAAATCAATGATTGGATCAGCAAATCAATAAATAAATCAGTAAATTTTGAATGAGTGACCACTTTTATCTTTCAGGCTGGATTTCTACTTCTTCCCAGCTTGGAGCATTCTGAGGCTCAAGCCCTATTGTTGTCAGAGTCTCCTGTATTGAAACACTATCTGTCATGACCTCCTGGCATCACAGAAACCTCTAATAGGGTTACTGAGACCCTCAAGCACCCACCTCCAGACCCCAGGGCAGGACACTATTTTCACCAGCTTTACTCACTGACCTCTCAGCTCATTCACAGCAAAGTCAGCAAATCCTCTTACAAGTATGCCCCTGATGATAATTAATGGGGTTAATTTATGGCTCAGACAATGGTGCTTCTCTTTGGGGAGGGCATAGGACAGCTGTCACTCAATGAGATGCTGCCCGGGCTCTGGACACTCAGGTTGAACTTCCAAGGAACAGCTTCAGCAAGTCTCTTTTAGGTCCCTGGTGTGTTCCCAAGCTTCACTGTGGGAGTAGATTCCCTAGCCCAGCAGCCAGCCCTCATTTTTGGAAGCCCGACTGGTTTCCAGAGAGAGTAGAGGCAGGAGGCAGGCATTAGACCATTACAGCAGGCAGAATGTACACAGGCTTCAGGCTCTTTCATCCCTGGCCCTGGGGAGACCCCGGGAGAGGCTCAGCATCAGCTCAAAGAATCCTTTCCCAGCCAACGGGTCCCACCAGCGATAGCAATCTACCCTCCCTCTTCTGAAGGCCCAGATAGCTTCCAGGGTGGGGTCCCAGAGCTCCCAGATTCAGGATGTTATGGCAGGGGAGGGCAGATGATGAAGACTTTCCCTGGGTCTGTTTGGGCCTCAATTCCTGTCTTTCTTGGTATCAAACATGTGACATTGTGATTGCCACATTCCTTGCATCCATGTTTATTGGTCTATTTTTCAAATGTACCCCATGCCCCACAACAATGGAAAAAGCACAGATTTCAGAGCCCTGGGAGCCATACTTCTCAGGGGGCTCCTCTTCCTCCTCACCAACAATATCAAAATCAGCAACTTTGCCTTCCTCAGAAAGGGTAACAGTTCCCACTCCACCCCCCCAGCTCGCCAGGTGCCTCTCAGGAATATAAATGTATGGGGATCACCCTGGCCCACACAAATGCTAGGGTTATCTTGCTGTATGACCCTGCAGAGACCACCTCAAATGCACAGGGGTCACTGTGGCATAAAATAGGCCCTCACCTAGGTCCAGCCCTGCTTAATGGCTTCAAAGATTGTATAAAAGCAGAAGTGACATGCTGGAGACCATTATCAAGTATGGAAAAAGAGTATTTGCACTCCACCAGTGGGACAGGGAAGGGACATGCAGGTGGCAAGGACCGCAGAAGCACTTGAGGCTTTGGGGACAGGACAGTAGGAAGTGTTCAGCATAGAACAGGTGCTAAGCAAACCCATCTACTGTATCTCTAGATCTGCCTACTCTTTTCTCTTGGCTGATCCAGAAGAATGCTGAGCTGGCAGAAGATGCCTGAGGCCAATCAAACTCCAGTCTTACCAAGCCTGCCACTCCTTCCCTGGGTCACTTTGCCAAAGTGACCTTGAAGCACTTTCTGCTTCTAAATTAGGCACTTTTGCTCCCATCGTTCAGGTAAAGCAAGTGAAGCACAAGGAAGTTAGGAAACTGACTAGTGAGGTGCAGAGCTGTGATTCTGTCAGTCTGACCCAAAGCCTCGAGTCTTCCCAGCATCAAAGGACCCAGGGAGAGGCCTAGAGGTGCCACTGGACACAGAGAGGTGGGGCAGTGAGATTAAAACTTCAGTGGCTTCTTCCTTCCTTGGCACCCCTGAACTAAGCAGCCTTCCCTGCCTCACAGAACCCCAGGCCTGCTCTGGGTGCTCAGGGGCTCACTACATACTGCAGCCCCCATGTCCTTGATGCTTAGCTTCTGGCTAATCCAGGAAAGTAGATGGGGCAGGACACATATTCCCCATGCCTGGTAGGGCTCGTTCCTATGTCCCCTTCTCCATAGCACTTGGCAGCTTTCAGCAGCATCTGTCTTCTCATGCCCTTTTGAGATTCCAGACAGTGAGGGTACCCCGAAATTTTTCTGGGACTCTCTTGGGCTCTTTCAATAGCTGTTGTTTCCAGTGTGAATTTTTGATCAGAGTCCTTGGTTTTGCTGTATATGGGTACAGGATTTGAAAACCATACTTCCCCAAGGGTCAGATACTACACAAATGGGAAGGAGACCAAAAGGTAGAAGGAGGGGGAAGGTAAAGAAAATTATCACGTGTCATGTACAAGGACAATAAATAAGCTAACTGTATTTGTATACTACAAACATGTATTTTTAAAAAAATTACAATCAACAATTAAAAGCAGGTTTATTTAAGTAAAAGATTTCACAACTATTATTGGGCAGTCATTTATTTAAAATAATGTTCTAAATACATACAAAAATAAATCAAGTATTGCTCCTATTTTTCAAGTGTTTGCAATAGAAAATATAAGGGACCTTTATAAACTAAACATCACTTTAAAATTACTTCACGATTATAACTGTGCAGTATTTTTTTTTAATGGTTTATGCTTTGCAAATTCCCAAACTATTTCTTTGCAATGTGCCTGTTCACAATGAGAATGTATACACAACCATATCAGACTTTTATAAAGGACTGTTTCTCATTTCATACACATAGAACCTAATGCAGACAGCACTGCACCCTAAGGCCAGCACAACTCCCCAAGAGTCACAGATGCAGTGACATGGATACAAATATGGCTGTGGGAGCATTATTTAACATTCAAATCAGCACTCCAGGTATCAGAGGTGAAAGCATCTTAACAGAGAATACTCACTTTTAACATTTTTAGACAAAGACATTCTTAAGCAAATCATTTGCCTTATTTATTGTAAAAATATAAAAAGTTCAAAGATTTCTCAATATGTTAAATTAATCTCAGGATAAACATCACTGTCTATGCACACAACTTAAAAGAGAAAAGAGTAACCTTAGAGAAAATTTTCAAAATTAAACTTCCAAATTGGTGTGTGCATGAGTAGATTCAATTTCTTATCAGATAAATGCTGAATTATCTCTTCCATAATATATGCATTCAAGTCTCCTTCACAAAACAGGTATTAGAAATTAGAAAATATAGACAATGCTTCACCACCCACAGGGTGTCAATCTTACTATCTTAACTAGATGTGGAGAAGAATCTCACTTCTGATCAGTTTCTGAATTTCTCTTATAAGTATTCATAATAAAACAGAACTTCAAATTACAGCATATTATTCTTGTATAAATATCTATATAATCAAATTTAAATTTGACTTATCAACTATAAAACCGACATGTGAGTAAAAAGCAGTAAATATGGTTTTTCTCTCTACTGAGAAAAAAGAATTTAGCTTTAAGCCCTTATTCTGAAATTATGTGATTTTTTAAAAAATAAATTCTACATATAATACTTCAAAATCTTATTACCAACAGAACTGGAAAACTGGCTTATGGATGTTTCATGATAAATTCCAGTAAAAGTTTTATGATCTTATTATGATTATCTTATAAATCTCTATTATGAACAAGTAGAAATGTCAAAATGACAGAACCTGCTGAAGGACCAAAATATATCAAAATTTTAAATAGCACGCTAAAATATTTTTAAAGTCTTATTTCATTTCATCAAAAGTCACAAGGAAGCAGACACTATACTAGTATACAAAAATGCAAAACAATAGTTCTATAGATTTTTTTAAAAATTGAAATCCAAGAGGTAGTCAGAAATAACCTTGATAAAACATGCTGCCTTAATCTGAGACTCAGATGCAGTATAAAATTCGTGTACTTTAGGTGATTAAAACAAGAACTGAGCAAGTTCTTAAAAGTAGATACCTAAATCAATACTGCAAATGGAATACTCTTTATTTGGAAAGAACGGCTGAGAAGAAAAACTGAACCATGGGCATAGAATCTACTAGCCAAATCCACCTTAGCTGTTGTTGTAAATAAAATTTTATTGAAGTATAGCCACACCCAGTTTGTTTACCCGACGGGCAGAACTGAGTCCTCGGGACAAAGGGCATGCAGCCCACAAAACCTACAGCACTTACTACCGTCACAGAAAACTTGCTGTCTCTGATCTGCACACACTGTTGACGAGGATTTCTTGAACAGCACTGAAAAAATTCACCGCAGTCATCATGATGGAGCTCAGCTCTACAGAGTGAAGGTGCTAGTTATGCAAGAGGCAACTTCTCATCGTCTCGAAAATAGTCTTAGGGTTTTTTTTTTATTTTTGTGCTTTAACACCAAAAATATATTTCCAATTTTACTATTAAAAAGAGATGAAGGACAGCACTGTCCCACAGAACTGTACAGTAAAGGGCATATGCCATACTTGGACTGCCCTGATGAAGTGGCCACTACCTGTGGCTAGTGAGTGCTGAAAATGTGGATGGTGTAACCCAAGAACCTAATTTTTTACCTAAATTAAACTGCCGTGTGTAGCTTGTGGCAACAATACAGAACAACACAGACACAACACAATTTAATTGACACTCCAAATTGAGATTTTAAAAAATGATTTCTAAAGATAGAAACGTAAGAGCTTTCATCAGAAATAAACTGAAACTACAGATTCTTCCTTTTATAATCTTAATAAGTAAGCAAAAATCAAACTGGAGCTGCTTTATCATTGCAACATGTCTTTTCAATAAAGACGTAAAATTAATACACTGTGGCATGTGATTTTTAGGCAGATAATTTTAAGCTGAAAAGTAGTAAGTGAGACAATATAGTCTCATTGACTACATTTAAAAGGAAGTAGACAGTTCACAAGTATTTTTCAGCTTGCTTTCCAGTCATCTCTTAAAAATGTGAACTTATTCCCTACCTTCTAACACTTCAGACAAGCTCTCAAGAACTTCTTGCTTTTAGCAGATACCTGTGAAAATTGTTTAGTGAAATTCTGTAACATTTCTAACATTTTTTATTTTTATATTCTCTTTAGAGAAAACTGTGGTCTTTGCAGAATTTGTATTTCCATAAAGTAATTACCACGGTTAAATCTTCCAGACAGTTCATCTTATACAGCATGCCAAAATACATCCATCAAAAGAATTTGTGGACAGAACCAAAATTAAGTTAGATAATCACCCATGTATAGTTCTCCATGTGCCTACATCAAGACTAGTTTTATATGGATCAATAACAAATCTAGATACACTATAAAATTGTGTATTACTGACTACATGTTTCACTTTAATCAAATTACTGGTATAACAGAAGATATTAAAATAAGAGTCAACCTGAAATTACAATACTCAGAAGATGAATGTTGAGATATGTGCTTACTTACAACTTCTAATTATTCCTGTGTGTTCCCCCCAAAGAGACAGTTAATTTTATACTTTATTTTAAAAGTTAGCTGGCAAAATTAACTTGTGGCATTTTTATTCCAACATGCCTAGGTCAAGCATTTTAACCTTTTATAATCCAGAAACTGAAAGGTATAAAACATTTTAAGGGCACTTCTGTTCTTGTTTTCTTTTGCAGTTTAATCAGATGTTGCAGCAGGAACTTTGACAGAGAGATTTCTCCGGGTGCTGGTGATGTGCCGCTGCTGTGCTAGGAAGGAGCGTGCGGGGCCACAAGGAGCAGTATCTTTGCAAGCACCGCTCATGAGCCTGGACTCCATCCCCAGTTTCTGGAATGCCAAACTCTGACCAAAAGCAAAATAAAACAAAGTAATTAATTTTAAAAAATACACACACACACACACACACACACACACACAGACACAGCATTTAGTTTACAAAGTACCCTTTATAAATATAAGTCATTCAACTGTCAAAATAATTCTATGAAGCTGAAGCTTTATTTCTATGGAAGAAAACATAGATCCAAGAACTGACTGACCATGGATGGCAATACTAGCAATAAGGCAAATAACTCAGTTTCCCTATTTTAATACACTAAGTTTGAAATCAGTAAAAATAGTAGTTTAAAATACTATCTTGAAATTAGGTCTAATTGTAATAATACAAATATATTCCAAAATAAATTTTTGTGTTTGGGCATTTTCTGCACTGGCTCTGCACAGACTTATGACACAGCAAAGCTTATGTGGTACCTAAAAATGGTTCCTGGATACACAACTATGATAAGTTTGACTCTAGAGTCTCTCATAAGAATAAGCAGTACTCTCATTAGATAGGCCTCATAATAAAAGTTTTATGGAACTTCACATCATTAGTAGCTAGTAAAGTACATGAGCTACACCCATATGTCCCACAATATAGATCGAAAAAACTCAAATACATGATTTACTATTTGGCTCTGTTATCTTCATTGATTTAAGGCATCAAGAGTTTTTAGAGAAATAGGAAAGATAATATATAGTTGCTGACCTCAATTAGGATGGTCAACAAAGGCAACAAGTTCTGAAAACATCTCCCATAAATTTCCATGAAGGCTCTCCTAAATTAACCCAGATTTTACAAAACACATTTTTAAAAGGCAAAAGCACAGATAAAAAGTATGTTAGCATGAAAGAACAAGGCAGGCATGACACCTAGTCACAGATGGACAACTAGTCTTATGTGGTTAAAGTGTGGTGTTCACACAGATGTTTGTAAAATTCTGAGGCTGAATGATACATTATTACAGAAAAATGAGAAACTAATTCCCCTTCTGATTAGAGTAACTCAGAATAACCTTATATATCATAAAACACTACTATCAAAAATATCTCACTGATACTAAGGATTATAAAACAAAATATATTTCAAATTACTTCATGCTATTTTTTTCCTTGGTAGGACAGAGAACATTATGAAAGAGTTCTGTCTAGTTCTGCATTTCACAAATATTCCTATATTTCAGAAACCCTTCATGAGTTTAAATTTTCGGTTCAAATATAGCAATTTTCTATGTCTGTGCTTAATGAACATCAATTAAAAGTTAATGAGCCACATCAACAATTTAGTGAACTACAACTAGCATTTAAAGAAATAGAAAGTGAATAATAATATGTGAGTGTGCCACATATGGTGGCATATGCCTGTAATCCCAGCACTTTGAAGGGAGGCAGGAGCAGGAGCATCACTGCAAATTCAAAACTAGCCTGGGCAGCAAAGTGAGATCAAGGCCAGCCTGAACTGCATAGCAAGACTGTCTCAAAGAGAGAGAGAGAGAGAGAGAGAGAGAGAGAGAGAGAGAGAGAGAGGAATGTAATGAACAGAGTCAGCATAACTTTCATTTCAGTTAGATATACCTTATATAATATGCCCTAGTTTACATAATAAAATGTTTCCTTCTATTGTTCCTGATGAAAAAAGTTTGTTCAACCCTGTGCAAAATAGCTAATCATTGGCGAGATTTCAACTCACCTTATTATACCAGGCAGAAACAATGAGCTTTTCTTCATAATCACGGAATTTTGCTACTTTACATTCACTCTAGTGAAAGACAGAAGGAAAATTAAAATCTCTCAAATTCCCCTTATTCAAAACAGAATGCTTTCTTTATTATTTCACTGTTCAAAAAAAATAAAATACAATAATAGAATGCATTTGTGAGGCACATAGTCAAATGTAAATAGAATGATGTAAAAACACATGTATTTCCCTTTAGGAAAGACTAAGATTTGTTACTAATAAATACTTTAGGGATTTTACTCATAAAATGTTATTTCAGGGCATGGGGGTTCTTTGCAGTGAGCGTGGTCTGGCGTTTCTCAGGTAAACAATGGCTAAAAGTTTACGGAGCAAGTGGAAAAGAAAAATGCGTGCTGAAAAGAGAAAAAAGAATGCTCCAAAGGAGCTCAACAGACTTAAAAGTATTCTCAGAATAGACTGCGATGTTTTAATGAAAGATGTTCAAGAGATAGCAACTGTTGTGGCGCCCAAACAGTTTCAAGAGAAAATGGAATGTATGGCGAATAATGATGAAAAAGATTCAGATGACATGAAAATGGAGACTGAGATAAAGAGAAACAAAAAGACTCTTCTAGATCAGAACGGACAGTACCCAGTATGGATGAACCAAAGACAGAGAAAAAGGCTGAAGGCAAAACGAGAGAGAAGAAAGGGTTTCCCCTTTTTTGCAAAGCAAAAGCAGCAAAGGCTGCAAAGGGCTTGGCCTGGTAGACCCCACCCCTGGAAAGCTGGCCACGTGGGACAGGCATAGGATTAGAAAGGACATAGTGATTTTAGCTCCTAGTAAATGAACAATATTTGTTTTGTTTTGTT